GAGGCAGCGAGGTGAAAGGGGCAGCTGGAGTGAAAGAAGGAGGTGGAGTCAGGGCTTCTTTTCTTTTAGGAGAGAACAGGAGAGTCTGAAGCAACATATACTAAGGGTGATGTGTGCTACAGAAAGGCTTTTATGTATTTGTGTCCATCCATATATGTATAAATACACATATTTGAAAAATATCAGAAAAGGAAAGAAAATATTCCGTATTTGAAGTAAGGCTGGATTTAAGTTATTCTAGGAATGTTAAACGTCCTTTACTTATCGTTTCGGCACTTCAGTGGGACACAGGCAATATTCCTCTGATACGGGTTCTTACATTTCCTTCTTACAGGAAAGAATAACGAAAAATACAAACATCGTATGTACTGGTTAAATCCCAGATCATGCTGAGGTGAGGGGCGGGTAAGAAGACAAGGACTGAGCAGAGAAGGTAGGAGAGTCAGACGCGTTTGCATTTTGGAAGCAGGCATTTCTCACCGTTTTGAGAATTGCCATAGGCATGGCTGGAGCACAAAGATCAGCACGCAACAGTTGCCAGACAGCTGCTGATGGAAAACTGCCTTGAAAAACCATTCTACCAGGGAAGGGGCAGACAAGGAAGACAGAAAATATACACAGAGATGCACCTATGAATGGCACGTGTTGAAAGAGGAATTGTCACTATATGTGGAATTACTGGTACATATCTGGCCAGTGCCTGTAGAGACCAGTAATTGGGAAATTATGTCCGACTCAAGTACAAAGGTATAATAAAACCTCTCTTTTCCCTTTTTAACATTTTTTACTCATTATAAGCCTGTTTATATCTCAGCCTCTGAATATTATTCTCAAAATTAAATGTGGAAGACAGTGTGGCTTTTAAAATAATTTATCCTGGTGACAGAATCTTACAAAAAAGACTTCCTGAAGTGTACTTAGGCTATATAATTTTGGACTGACCTTGCAGTCTTATGGGCATCTATTTCCATGTCATAGGGCAAGCTGGTCCTGTTTCTCTATTTATTAAGCTAGTGTTTATGGCATTTTCAGAACTGCATGACAGTGAATGAGATGCTTTATGTGACTGAAAAGGACAAAAGTGTAGTGTATTTTGCATGTGAAGAGATGAGCAAATGTGTTTGTTCTTCCAACTTCAGGCTAGAAAAAGAAAAATGGAGAGAAAAAAAGATGCAAATACACACATCCTACTGTCCTGTAATGGCCTATAAGTAAAGGTGGACTTGCCTGCACAGTCACCTGTGAGGGACAGACTCTTGTTCTTCCACTCCAGTGGAAGCCAAGGACAGTCATAAGTCTTGGCTTTCTAGACCCTCTGGCAATGGTATAACAACGTATAGAATAGCTGCTGAACTGTCAGTGTGTGAGCAGTCTCACTGAGATGTGCACCTGGGAATATTCAGGCCATTTTTTGATCAATCCAGCTGAAGCTAGTGGGACTGTTGAAGAACTACTGTCACTGGGAAGCGTGGTTCTGGCTCCTTCCCTTTCATAGAAGGGCAGTTGGAAACGTACGTATCCTTTCCAATATTACTTTAACGCGTCGGGGCTGTATTTGCCGCAGCATTGCTCTGAGACTGCAAATGGGCAATGGTGCGATCCGCGAAACAAAACTGCTGCATCAAAGTGTTGTCTCCTCTAAGAAGTGATTCCAGTACCGCTAGCTCAGTAGTTCGATTCTCTGTTTAACTCTTCACTCTCTGGGCAAGTAAAGAATAAACTAAAATTTAATTCAGCCGCACTTTCCACCAGAGCCACTGCACTGGACCCCCTTCTGCTCACCTGAGATCAGCTCCTTTAATTTTCATTTCGGCAGTTCCCACATCAGTGCGAAGTGCTGAATTTAGCAGCCTGATTTGAATAACCTTCTACCAAACATCCCATTTAAAATTAAATGGAAATGAAATGGAAATGTTTTC